GAGTAGAAGTTAGAATTAGCTGTTGCAGCGCATTAAACCCCATCAAGGGTTTGCCTTCAGCCCAAAGAGTCTCCCCCAATGTTGTCCTCTAACCCTCGAGTCCCAAGCAGCGCTCGGAGCGGTGCGGAGCGGCGGCTTTGCTTGCTGGAGTGATGCTGTGCAGCAAAGTTGCTTCACGAGCTGCATCTCTGCAGCCTGGATGGCAGCGTGCTGCCACCGGGGCACGTCCTGCGGGGACCCAGGGTGAGCTGCGCCGGGCAGTCGTACCTGGGATCGCTTCCCGATGCTGTGAGCGCTTCCAGCTGGGAATCGAGACGCGCAGGCGTTTGTGCTTCTCGAAAAACCTATTTGAAACTTGTCCTCTTTCTCGGCAGCTGTGCTGGAGGGAGAGCAGCGGCGTTGCTGGAAGCCTACATAGCTGCCGTTCCCCCGTGTCAGCGCTGTGTCACGGCCCTCCTTTGTGTGCCGGTTTAGATTCCTGGGGCTGGCGGTAACGCCGTCAGCTGTAAGACGAAGTTTAGGGGCAGCGAGGCTTGGAGAGATGGAGGTCGCGCTCTCGGGGCGGCTCCGCTGCCCGCTCAGGCTGCGGAGAGTGCTTTGTGAGAGCCGCAGGACAGAAACACCTCTGCTGAGCAATGCCTAATGTGAACTGTGGCAAAAACGTTCATTAATTGCTCTCTGGCCGGGGGTGAGGGCCGCCTGAGTGCGTCCCTTCTGCTGTGCTCGCTCTGGAGGCTGCCGTAGGCACGGGGACCGCCGGCCGTGCCGGACAGTCCTTGGCACTGGGCAGCCGGAGTGTTCCTGGGAGGAAGAGGCTCTGAAGTCACGTTGGCCGTCGGATCATCCCTACATACTTACAGCGGCATCCCTGGTATTTACGCACAGCTACGACAGCGCTGGGAAGGGCTGGCAGGCTCCGAGAGGTCCGTTAATTACCTCTAATGTGGCTCTAACTCAAGCGAGAGGCTGCAACTTTCAAGATGCCCGAAGAACTCGGGACTCGGCTGTTGATCTGTCTGTCCTCAATGCCTCTGGTAGCCGGGAGGGCGCGAAATAATCCTGCGCGGTGGGATGGGAAAGGGGGGTGCGGGTCCAGAGCAGCGCCTGGTGCAGTGAGAAGTTCCCCGCCCCCCCTCGCTGTTAGCCCTGAGCTCTGGAGGAACTCGTGTGACTGGAGGAAAAGAACAAATTATGTTGCTCTGAGCAACTGAAATGAGGCAAATTGTCCTTCTGGGCTGAGTCATCGTCTGGTAGAGCCGCGGCAGTGTTTGTGCGCCGGGGTGTGGTACCTGGGGGTAGGTGGCACGAGGGTTTGGGTTTGGCTCTTGCCAGTAGGTGCGGTGGTGGAAATGACTTTATTCTTTTTTTTTTTTTAAAGCTTAAGGGAGGGAATCATAGTGACAGCCACCTGCGGTTCTCCCTGGGTTTGCTCACTGCGTACTCGACGTGTGCCTGGCTCCGAGTCCCGGTGTCACGCTGTGGGCTTGTTGACCGAAATCTGCTCGGTGTTACGAGCTGATAACGTGGCTTTCGGCTGCTGCTTTTCCCTGGATTTGCAGGGTGGTGCCGGGTGGTTTGGGGGGGGGGCTCAGCTGAGCAGGGAGGGCACCCCCCTGCCTTACCTGGAGTGAGCGAAGGTGTTGCTTTGGGCTGTGCTTGCCCTGTTGCCCCTCCTGCCTCTGCGCTGCCCGTTCGGCGGTGTTGGTCCGGTCCCTGGGCAGCCGCGCTGGACCCCTCGTGCTTCCTCTGGCGGCCGTGGCCATGGGGGCTCGAGCTGCGGTGGCTTGGGGGCCGGCCGGGTGTCACTCGTGGTCTGCGTGGGGTTGAACTGCGGAGTTGTTTGGGAGCAGCTCTGAGTTCTTCTCATAGGGCTCCTTCCAGCTGCGAAAGCCACTTGGGTCACGTAAATGCCAAGTGGAAATAGTTTCTTCAAGAGCAGCCTGAAAAAAAACCCCACCAAACCCAACCTTAAAATACTACTTTAGAGCTCATTAGGTGCTGCAACCCATAATGTAGGGTGATGAGCTGAATTTCAGGGGTCGTGTCGTTAGCCTTGAGTCTGCGTGTGCCCGACTGGTCAAAGGCAGAGCTGCGTTGGGGTCCCAAACCTCGGGTGGGCTGTGGGGTCCACTGGAGGCTGCTGGTGCAGGAGGTGTGGGGGAGAGGATGCAAAAAAGCTGCCTTCACCAAGAGGTCAGGCTGGTGGCTCCTCTTCTCGTTGCCGTCTCCCCGATGCCGTGTCAGGCTGCAGCTCTGGCGAGGGCGGACGTAGCTCTTGACAGCCCCACCATGGGGAGAGGGGGCTGAGGTGTGCTCGGGGTGATCCCGCATCCTCTGGGGCTGTGGGGTTGGGGATTAACCACCAAAGGTGTAGGCAGAAGGGTGGTATCCGTGATGAGGACCGCTGAGCCGTCTCTGTCGGACCGTCTGCTCCTCAGGAGAACCTTTTCTTCTCTGTCTGCATTTCCTTGGCTCGGTGGCTGCGCAGCCTCACCTGACCAGCTCTTCTTGCTATCTCCTGGCTAACATCAACAAAAAAACCCTAAAGCAGCAACTTTGAAGCCTGCAAACCGCAGCTGTGAACTCTGCGGACGGTCTTGCTGCTCACAAGGGTTTATGTCGTGCCTCCTTCATAGTAGGAATCTTCTCCTGTCCTGCATTTGGCTGAGCCAAATGAATTCCTGACCCAGAGACGAGACAGCAAGATGCTCCTGTAGTGTAGGTCACAAACGTCACTGCTCTGTTGAGATTAGATGCATTGGGAAGGTTGGGGGGGATTTAGTTGTATCCTAAACTGAATATTGTCTGTCCTCTGGGTTTTGCAGGGGTCACGGATGCTGTCATGGACATCTCGAGGCTGGAGGAGCCGTGCATTGGAGTTGTGCGGTTCTAGTGGGACGTGGCCCTGTTTTGGAAGTCACTCGTGTTAACGACTCTCTTGTCTCTGTTTCCAGTTCTGGCATAAAGCATGTTTCCACTGCGAGACCTGCAAGATGACCCTAAACATGAAAAACTACAAGGGCTACGAGAAGAAGCCGTACTGCAATGCGTAAGTCTCTGCTACTGCTCGCGTCGCCACCGAGACAGCGCCGGGCCTGGGGGATGCTGTGGGCTTTGCTGGACCCTCCTCCTTCGCGAGTACCGGTCCTCCCACTCCGAAACCAGAGTTGTGGGGAACCGTGAACTCTGCAGAAACTGTCTTTCCCCACCGCTCAGCGGCATTTTCTGGCAGTGCACATGAAGCCCTGGCTGAAGGGGTCACACCGGCCAATTAACGTCAGTAACAAACCAGTGTTTTCCAGGCTGAAATGCCAGCAGATGGCTGCTCTCCAGTTCCAGCTAGGGGAGACAAAAAGGGACTGAAATTCAGATACGGGCAGGCGTTTACATGGAGCTGATCTTAATCTGTATCCCCTTAAAGAAGGGGAAATAAAAAGGTGTTTGTACCACCCCAACTGCATACCGGTGTTTGGGGAGAGGAGAAATGCCCTTTGGGGCAGGGGGGGTGTGAGGCAGCGAGGGACACGGGTGTCACTGCAGCCTGGGCTGGGCTGGTGGCCAAGGACCACCCCGATCTCTGGGCACTTGCCCGGTGTGTTACGAAGGTAAATACAGCTTGAACGTGCGATCCTTCCCCCTGAGCAGTGTAGGGGAGATGCAGGTGGAGCAGGGTACAACGGGAGCTGCTGCCTGTACCGCACACCAATGTGCCCTCCTGCATCTTTCAGGTCACTTCTGAGTGATGGATGTTCACTGAGTGATGGATGTTCACTGGCCCCCCATTATTTTTTTTTTTTTTTTAATTCTTATTGAGGAGGACCCTTAATTAGGCAACAGCAGAGCGCAGAAGGCTGTGGACACTGGTCCCTGCTCAGACCATAGGGAAGCGCTGAGCTCTACGTACCTGATGTGTTTCTTAATGTCTGCAAAGCAGCTTTGCAAGAAGACTTTTGTAGCTGCTGCTTATACATTAACAGTTCTTAGAAGGAGAAGTAGATAACATAATGCTGCTTAGCACTTGTATAGTGTGGGCCATTCACGGAGTACTTTAAAAACATTAATCCGGACAACATCCTTGTAAGATGGGTATTACCTTATTAATGTCTGAGAGGAGTAGGAAGGAGAAGTGGTGACACCATCAGCCACGCGGTGCCTCAGCAAAACCTCCCCGCTCCTTAGCTCTTCTGTAGGCTGGTTGTTGCTGGTGTTGGGTGTTGACGATGACGACCTTGGACAAGTCACGATCAAAGCTTCTGTTGAACTGGGATGAGACTTGTGGCATTCGGGTCTCGGCTGGTAATGGTTGTGTCTCGGGATCTCCCCTGACACGTGGCGTGGCCGTCGTATGGAAAGTGGCAAAGAACTCTTGGTTGTATGGTTGTATGGTGGCCAACAGTGCTATTAGAGCTGCAGCTTCTGAGGTGGAACTGGGACCTTCCTGGAGTAGTATGAGGGGGAAACATGTGCTGTTGAGGCAGGGAGGGGTGTTGATGAGGGGGATACCTGTTTGGACTGTGCCGGTCTCTCAACCTGCCGTGACGGTGGTCCAGCCAGCTTGGGACCTGTGAGCTTGGGTCCTTCATTTGGAGAGAGCTGCAGGAGAGGAGACCTTAAGCTCTACTTACTGTCCTGAACCAAAGGTTTCTTCTCTGGACCGTGGGCACCCTGAGAGCAGCCCTGGCAGAGCCTTGCTGGGGCCGTGCCCGCCAGAGGGGTGGCCCCGGGGTCCTCTCCTTGTGCTCTCTCCCTCCAGGCTGCTGGAAGGGAAATGGGATAATAATGGGGAAATTCCTGAGATTCCAAGGAGTCTGCGCAACCTCGACCCATCTCAGTTTCTCAACCCCCTCTGCTGAGAGCTGCCTTTGATGCTGCTTTGCTGTCTTAACCCTTTCACAGCCTCCCTGAAGGAGAGGCAGCGTCTGCCTCACTGCTACCGCAGGGCAGCCCGGGATGTTCAAATGGTGTGCAGAAACCGGCATTAAACGTTCTTCCCACTTTGCCTGGCCATGCAAAGCGAAGTGAGAGCAGCTGAAAGCTGCCTGCGGCAACTGCCGGCCCCTTGTTTGCCGGGGGAGGCTGTGTGGGACCCCAATGTGGACCCCGACCCGGGGCCAAGGGGAGCTGCAGCCGAAGGACCCGGGTTTGGTTCCTTCTCATCTGGTGCCCCTGGAGTATACTGGGGAGAAAGAAACATCCAGGCAAGGTGAGTGTGTCTGGCAAAGGACGCCCAGAAGATGCTCACCCTTCCCAAAGAGGTTTTGCTGCTGTTGGGAGTGGAGGGGCAACATCTTCTGTCCCCCGAGAAGGGGGTGGAAAAGCAACGTTTACCCTGGCAGGGAAGAGGCCGCTTTTCTGAACATGCCTTAGCACAGGGTCTCCTCTGTTCGAGCCGTGGCCTTCTGCCAAATTCCTGAGTTTCTTTCTTCAAGAGAGCAGGAGGAAGAGGGTTGGGCTTCCTCCCGATCTGACACTGCCCCAGCAATAAATCTGCGTGAAGCCTTTGGAGCCGGTGGCTGGTTGAGCTCTGCCCTCTGCCCTCCCGATGCCCGTCGGTGTTGGGAACTTGCTTTGGCGACAGACGTGACCACCTCCACCCTCCTCACCGTTCCTCTTCTGACTTCAGCTGGGTACTGGGGTGACTGGTCGCTTGCTGAGAGCGGGATTGGAGGCTGGGCTCGTCTCTTTACGTGAGCGCTTTGAGCTGGGAGAGGTAGAAGTGGAGGAAGGGCAATATCCAGGTGACTATCCTGCAGATGAAGGGATGGCATGTGAGCTCAAGGGGACCAGCTGCTCCCAAATAATGCATTATATATGGGCTTTAACTTCTTGCTGAAGGGATGACAGAGCTGTGTGCTGCAGTTGGCAGGGCCGATGCTGGGCATCGGGGCCGGGAGTCCCAAACGGAGGTGGTACCCGCAGCAGTGGGGCTCTCTTCCCCCTCCTTCGAGGCTTTCTTTGCCTCGGCAGTGGCTCAGTGTGCAGCACAAATCTGTGCCTTGAAAAACCCTGCCTGTGTGTTCCCAGCTGTATATTCGGTCTGGGGAGCTGGAGACATCTCCAGAGACGTCCCTGGGCAGCGCCGCTGCTTGAAATGCGGAGAG